CAGATTAAAAAATAAAAATAATTTTTATTAGCGGTCAAATTCTATCTAGCCAGCCACAAGGAAAGAACAGAGCCGAGCCCGGGGTCGGCCCTGGGTGTGCCACAAGGAGTCAGCCTCAGCAGAGGTTCTGCCCTATGCCCACACACCTCCATCCTGGCACAAGCGGTTTTTTATAGGGAAAATTCTGCCTGAGGCCAAGATTTTCTTCTATTCAGAGTCCATAGGTTAATAAGATTTTCTTTTTTTGGTGATGAGGAGAAATAATTCAATGTCCGGAGTAGGTGAATCCCTGATGAGATTTTACGGGAAGGCTGCATTCACATGGATCTGTCTGAGGATTTCTATGAGATCCACCTCGGGCCATTCATGCGATGATCAGCACCGATGATCAACACCTGGAGCCCAGCCATGGCCCATCTCCTGGCCGAGCCACTTGTAAATCAGTTTCCAATATACACCCAGTCTCACCTGCAAAGGGGGGGAACTAATACAACGGGCATAATCTAACAAGTATCTAATATTACATATTTCATACAAGGAATGGCGCGAATTATATTTACTACACATAACAGTGCCATCCAAGAAAAGGTATGAAACAAAGTTCTTTTAAAATAACATTTGCTGTTATTTCATCTCAAGCACTGACTTCCTCTGTAGAAAAACCTCACAAAAAGCGCCCATTGAAAGAAAATAAACGACCCAAAAGCACGCATTGAAAGTAGCACTTCGGCCGAAGGAAGAGGTCTCCAGCACACACTGGGGGAAAGGAGCAGCCTTGCCGTTCTACACGCACCTCCAGCAGCGGCCGCCCGCGCGGGGAGCGTGCGGGGCAGGGCCGGTCCCAGCGCCCGCTGCCCTCTCCCGGCGTGCGCCGCCTCGCCGCGCACCTCGGACTCCATTTCCTGGCCACGCCGCACCAAGTTCTCCAGGCGAGTTCTTCTGCCGGCCGCCTCGCCGGACTGAGGAGAAAAAGCGGTCGGCGAGGCGAGGCGCGAAGCCCATGGAGAGCGGCGGGGCAGCCCGAGGGACGGCCGAGACGCTGCCGGGCGGGAGCGGGACAGCCTGAGAGGAACGAGGAACGGCACCCGCCCGCAACGCCCCGGAGCGCGCCCGCCGGCCGCGAGCCGGACACTTACCCTTGGTGAGCATGTCCAGCACTCCCGACTTCTCCAAGTACTGGCGGAACTGCTCCCGCTTGGAGTCCGCGGCCTGAGGGAGGACGCCCACACGGTCAGATCGGCGGCGCGCCCCGCCTCGACTGCGGAGGCGGCCCTTTAGCACAGGCCGGTCCCGCTCTCCGCCGCAGAGGCGGCACGAAGGGCCGAGCCGGGGTCGGCCGGCGGCCCGCCGCTCCGCGCAGCCGGCACGGAGAGCGGCACCGCGCCCACGCCGGCGCGCTCCCCCCTACCTTGTGGTGCGCCATCTGAGCCGCACGGCGCCTGCCCCGGCCGCGCGCCTGCGCCCTGCGCTTTAACGGCGCGAGCGCTTCCCCGCGGTTGCCACGGCGACGGCGCCGCGGCAGCGGCAGCGCCGGGCCCGCGCGCCGCCCGCGCTCCCCTCAGCGGGGCCGCGCTCCCCTCAGCGCCGCCCGCGCTCCCCTCGGGGCGGCCGCGCTCCCCTCAGCGGCCACGCTCCCCTCGGCGGGGCCGCGCTCCCCTCAGCGGGGCCGCGCTCCCCTCGGCACCGCCCGCGCTCCCCTCAGCGCGGTCCGCTCCCCTCAGAGCGGTCCGCTCCCCCCAGCGCTGTCCGCTCCCCTCAGCGCCGCCCGCGCTCCCCTCGGCGCGGTCCGCTCCCCTCGGCGGGGCCGCGCTCCCCTCGGCGCCGCCCGCGCTCCCCTCAGCGCGGTCCGCTCCCCTCAGCGCGGTCCGCTCCCCTCGGCGCCGCCCGCGCTCCCCTCAGCGGGGCCGCGCTCCTCTCAGCGCGGTCCGCTCCCCTCGGCGGGGCCGCGCTCCCCTCAGCGCCGCCCGCGCTCCCCTCAGCGCGGTCCGCTCCCCTCGGCGGGGCCGCGCTCCCCTCAGCGCGGTCCGCTCCCCTCAGCGGGGCCGCGCTCCCCTCAGCGCGGTCCGCTCCCCTCGGCGCGGTCCGCTCCCCTCAGCACCGCCCCCGCTCCCCTCAGCGCGGTCCGCTCCCCTCAGCGCGGTCCGCTCCCCTCAGCGCGGTCCGCTCCCCTCAGCGCGGTCCGCTCCCCTCAGCGCCGCCCGCGCTCCCCTCAGCGGGGCCGCGCTCCTCTCAGCGCGGTCCGCTCCCCTCAGCGCGGTCCGCTCCTCTCAGCGCGGTCCGCTCCCCCCAGCGCGGTCCGCTCCCCTCGGCGCGGTCCGCTCCCCTCGGCGGGGCCGCGCTCCCCTCAGCGCGGTCCGCTCCCCTCAGCGGGGCCGCGCTCCCCTCGGCGCCGCCCGCGCTCCCCTCGGGGCGGCCGCGCTCTCCTCGGCACCGCCCGCGCTCCCCCCAGCGCGGCCTCGCCCGCCTCGGGGCGGCCTCGCCGTCCGCTGCCGCCCGAGGGGAAGCCGAGCCCGGCGTCGTGCCCCCTTTCTTGCGCGGCCCTGCCTCCTCTCCCGCTCTGCCCTGCTCCCCTGGCCGGGGACGGTTCCGGGGCTCAGCTCAGCTCCCCGCGGAGAAGGCGAGCGGGGCCGCGCCGCGGGGCCCGGGCGGAGCTGTCCTGCGGGTCGCTGGAGTTCTTTCTGGTTTTCATAGTAAGCCTTCGGGTTTGTGAAATTCAAAGTGTCTGATTAATACATTTCAGTAGCTCAGCTGACTGAAATCACAGGAGAAAGTTGCAGCCAGCAGCGGCTGCAGAGGGTCTGTGAGGCATTGAAGAGTGGTGAAATCTTCGCGACGAAAGTCTTTTGCCCTAGCCTGTTAAAAAAAAAAAAAAAAAAAAGAAAAGAAACTGTTACACCTGTTTATTTTTCTGAAACGCTGACAGATAAAATCTATTTATTGTAGAAATTTTTAAAAATTAAAAGACCAACCAAATGATCTTGCACATATGATGTTAGGGAGTTTTCACGCTTTTTTTCCATGCTCTTCCACAATGTTTGTAGTTTTCAGTGGTTACTCTTCATTTGGGAAGGTGCTGTGATTAAACAAAATGTCTGACTCATATCCAGGCATAAAAAAGTTAATAAAATTCCTCTCACTGCAGCAGAAAAATTCATTTCTAACTTGTCTTGAACAACAAAAATACAAATGTCATGTCCCATACATGAACATCTAAATGCTAACTTTCTGTTATTTAGACAGCAGGAACAGAGTGCATTGAATACGAGGCTTTTTATTATGGAGAGATTAAATGCAAAACAAGCATTAGCAGTTATTGCCCACAGGATTTTACACATCAAGAAATGCAAGAATCAAAGCCACAGCAGCAGCATGAACTTGCCTAAGTCACACTATTACAGTTATGTATGTTCCAGTATAGTATACGACCTTAAATTTTACAGTGTAAACACAATTATGTATTTATGTATACACATAGAAGTGAAAAGGAAAGAAACCTACAGCAAATAGTTTTAATAGTTCTCGTGTGTATTTCTTTAATGCTGCTACAAGCAAAATAGCAGTTTAGGTTTTCTGGCTTCTTTTTTGCTAGTATTGTACAGTTTTCAGGCAATCTGAAACATGGCTGGTTGGTAAGTATAATGACAGTGCACTTTAAGAATTTCATTGTGCTGTAACATCATTATGTTATATCTCACAGATTATTTTTTTCAACAGATGAACAGTATGTCAAATCTGCTAGTAAGAAATACACACAAAAAATACTAATGCATTTCAGCTGTGACCACCTCACCAAGTATTTACAGTGTTTCAGTGCTGTGCACCTCAAATAAATGTATTCCATACATGGAAAGCTTGATTACAAATGTACCATAGTATTTTGTTCATCTTTGCCCCCTTTATAATTTCAAGATGTTTCATGGAACTTCCTTTACACCATATGGACCTGAACAGCAAGTGGATAAATGTCCTAATGTTTTGTTATCCCCATTAAAAGCATAAACACAAATGCTCCTCCTAAACAGGTAGGACCTTTGTTTGATTTAAAAGCTTATCAGTATTCAGGGGAGACACAAACAGAAAAGGACTAGTTTTACTCTTTGATAAACCTTTTATATGTCTTTTGACATTGTAACTCAAATCAGGAAGGTACTACCATATTTGCTTTTTTTGGTTCTCTGTTTTTGGAGTTTTTTTTCTGTTTTCCATAGTAAACCTTCTGGTTTGTGAAAATCAAAATGTCTGATTAGTAAATTTCAGTAAATTGTTTTCTGATTTTGCTATCTTATTAGTGTTATGAAAAATGTCAAAAGTAAAGCTCACAACATGTCTGGAATTCCTGATGTTTAAAAAAAATAGTGGTGTATTGAATTCTGACAGTATAATATTAGAAATTCACTTTGATTTTTCTGCTGAGGTAGTCAGTGGTGATACACTGAAAAAAAGTACCATGGAGCCAACAAATTAGTGATCTGTTTTGCAAATGCTTTTTCTCTTTGTATTTACAACAGCTTGAACTGTGGAATAAGTTTGACATTCTGCTTTTGGTCAGCTACCAAGTGTCTGTTTGAATTCTCACACTGATTAGGCAGAGACATGTTTACCAATAAATTCTTTTGAGAGTATCTTTAACCTAATTTGATTTACTGGTCTTTGTAAAACTATTGTTAGACTGTAAATTTTGTCTCCTACTTTTATTCGGTTTTAATAGTACCAGCTGTGATTTTATGCCTTTTTCCTAATATGTGGGCTGAGAGGATGTATGTTTTCCTTTTTAGCTGGAATGTAGAAGTTTATACACTGAGATCTATGCCACATTTTCATTACAAAAGAAGTAAAGAAACTGTTTAAAATTACTTAGCTACTATTCAAAGGGTTACACAGCTATGTAAACAGCTGGCTAAAGTTGAATTATTTAGCTGCACTTACACGTAGGTCTGGGTTATGTCTCTGTTCAGGAATTATCCCAGCACTGGGTAGTGCAGCTAATGGGTTAACTCACACTATATTTGAAGATCAGTGGGGGCACGCCTACTGCTGGCATTACTTGACAGTGACTGTTGCCTAGACAGAGACAAAAGCTTAGGACTATTCCAATTTCTGCTTTGTGTAGATTCTGAGCTCACCACCCCCATGGAATCAGAAGTGTCTGGTCGGCTGGAATTTTTTCCATCAGCATTGTAAGGAATTTGGGCTTTGTTTACACTGAAACTGCTCTGTCTTCTGTCCCTGTTCTTTGGAAGAGAATTTGTTAGTGCTCCTGTGTCCTCAACCATTGTCTGTCGTCTAAAACCGGCATTAGGAAAAGTTGTACCAGGTTGCAATGAAGTTTGACCTGGCAACTCAGCAAAGCTTCTCAAGTACATGTTTGAGGCAGTATCTGCATTCTGAGTATCAACAAGAAAATGTTTCTTTTCAGCCTCTTCTTGTGCATCATGTGTCTCAGTCCAAAGCTCACCAAGAAAGCCTTCGTTATTATTTGTGCTAGCATTTTGAGTCTGATTGTCTAAAGCATTTGTAGCTGGCCTCTTCTTTGGAGATTTATTTTCCTGATTGCAATGGGTGTAATTGCTGCTGCTTTCTGCACGGTTATTTTGCACAGACTGAAACATAGAAGGAGAATTTAAAACTGGGTAGAGCATAGTGTCAGTTTGCTTTTCCATCAAAAAGGTATAACTGCTAAGAGCACAAGGAAGTGTTTTCTGAGGGGTGGTGGATATTCCCAAAGAAGAGTGTGGTATCGCAGAATATTTCTTAGATTTGTTTATGTAGAAATGGTCAGAGTCATCTTTGTTTTTATTCTGCTCACAGAGTCCCATTTTAATTTTCCGGAATCCTAAGTGGATAATTTCTAGAATATTTAAAAGCAATGATACAGTTGCTATTGATTGCATAAATAATATAAACACTGTCTTTTCTGTTGGTCTAGATACAAAGCAGTCAACTGTGTTTGGACATGGGTCTCTCTGACATTTATAAAGGGGATCTAAGTGAAAACCATAAAGAAGATACTGCCCAATCATAAAGCCAACTTCCACTGCAGATCTTGTGAAAATATGTATCACATAAGTGCAGAGCAAAGAGCCTCTTAGGGGTGCTTTGTTTAGCTTTCTTTGATCCAATTGCCGGAGCTCTCTCTCCAGTCTTTTACGATTTTCAGTCATTTCTAATTCAGTGCTTTCAAGTTCCACCCTTACCTGAGCTTTCTTTTTCTGCCTCTCTTTTTCCAATGCTCTTAGTCTGTATAAGGCATGACCCATATACACCAAAGAAGGGGAAGACACAAATATGACTTGCAAAACCCAGTATCTTATGAGAGAGATGGGAAAGGCCTCATCATAGCACACATTTCTGCAACCAGGCTGCTCAGTATTGCATATAAATTCTGATTGTTCATCATTCCAAACATCCTCGGTTGCCACTCCAAGGACAAGCATTCGAAATATGAAGAGGATCGTTAGCCAAATCTTTCCAATAATAGTGGAATGAATGTGGACCTCCTCTAAAATGCCTCCAAGGAAATTCCAGTCTCCCATGGTTATTCTGCCATATTAACACTAAAATGTATGAGAGAAAAAAGTATCAAACATTGTAAAAGTCGCATTCCTTCCTTAACATATTATGAAAAACACAACACTGGGAAAACTATCATATCTCATATTGTGACCATGGGAACATAACCAACTGCTCATTGATAATTAGGTATTATTTTCTTTCACCTATGAGATGGAGAACTGCATCATCTGCCTGTGCCTGCTTTATTATTAACATCCTGATAAGCACATCACTACAAGATATTAAACACCCTCAGTCTGCATCAGTTCGGGGGAAACTACAGTGCCTGACTTGTAGCAGGATTTAAAGAGCATTATGTGATCTATTTGAACCACATCCAATGACAATGTGAGAGCAGTACATTTATATTTAGGACATTTATCAACATACAGGAATATTTCCTTGTCCTCTTTTTTGGATGTTCCAAGCCCCATGTCACAGCTGTAATTATGGCAGTCCAATTAGTATTTAACAGAAAATTGGTTATATAAAGGACCTCAAGAGGGAATAAATCATCTAATGAAAATGTCAATATTAATTAAAAAGACATGTTTAAGTATATAATTTTGTGCAGACATTTGTTTTTTGTTTATGGATGTCAACAATAAATAAATAGAATTGCTGTAATTGGTTTGCTTCCTCTGATTAATGATGTCTGCATTTGAAATAGTGAATAGAGTGCCAAGTGTCAAGCATTACTACTTCGGCCACAACTCTTTGAAACATAAATAACTTGCACAAAAATTCTTTACCAGCATTTTCCCAAATGACTGTCATCTGAATACAGATAAACTGGTAACATATGTGTGTAATTGTACATCTCACCTTTCTTTCGTATATTTGTTTCTCCATTAACAGGATACTACATTGTGGTCAAAATTTTAAATTCCTTTTCAATATTTATGTTATTGTATACATATACAATTGTAACACAATTTTTCTTATGTGTGGGGACAAGCAAAACACTTGTAGATTTACCTTTTCATTGTATGAACAGCACAATTCAATAGAATAGTATCTTACTTTGGTATTTTTTAGGATAAAGGTACTTTAGCATAGCATTTTCTCTTCAAATTGAATTAATCTTCACCCTATAAAACAGGAGTGCTAACAAATCAACAGAAGCTGGAATCTTATGGTTGCAATATTGATGTCCATAGAGGAATCCTTATGTTCAGCCTTCTAAACATGAAAATACTTTTGCAAATCACTATACAAAGGCAAGTTAGATATTTTTAAAAGATAAACTAATTTTAAATGAATGGTAAATTAAAAATAAAACATACCTTTATTTACAAAAATATGAAAAACTAAACATCTGCGACGTCCAATAAAATATTACAACCCCTGCCATCTTCCATCTATGTGAGTAAATTGACACATTATAAGCAGTTTATTTTGCCACAGTAGCAAATAGAGTGTGAGCTCTGCACATGGAATTTATATTTGCTGGGGCTGAAGGGAGGAGAAAATCGATCTATTGTTCAATCTAGTACTGCTTCAAGCATAATTTAACTATGAAGAGTAAAAGATTTTTAAAAAGCTAGAAATAAAAAATCTGCAGCTTTAAGTTCTTTGAGATTATATTCTCTTTTGCCTCAATAGCACCTTTTAAGTTTTAGGAACAGTCTCAGCCTCAGAAATACAGAATAAAACAGAACTTTCAGTCTACGTTTTAGTTTATGTATCTCACTAGCAGCAGACATTCAGCTTGCCTGTGCTAAAGAAGGTAAATCTTCCCAAACAGTGTAATTGTAAATTCCTGCAGACAGTCTGTTCTCCTGCAACAATTTACCACCTCACTCCTGGTGTAAAAAATCAGTGGATGTACTTTTGGCCACTCCAACCTCACTCCCTCCTCACAGACAGCATCTCTTACATTCGGTGATTCTGCACTTCTCATTTACTCTCCTGAGACCATATTACTTGTCATAGTGATGTCTTTAAAAGATTCCTGAACTTGGCAGTGGTTTTACTCTATTTTCCCCATCCATAGAATTCAGTATTTCTTTTTGGGAGCAAATCGTTATAATTCCTATCTTAAATGTCAGACATACTAAAGATGTCATTCTTCTTGATAGTGATACTTACGTATAGCATATATAAATGACTTGGTGCACAAGTTCAATTTTTAATCCAGACCTTAAGCTACCCATCTGCATTAGCTCAGCAGGAAAAATAGGGAGAACAGGATGAAATATTTTCTGTTATAAAAGAGCACACAAACTGTCTGATCTCAAAGAATATTTTGGGTATAGATGGTACGCTGGGGAAACCCTTTCAAACACTCTAAACATTAAGAAATGTTGGTCAGGGGGAGGGGAAAATACCTTGTTTTACAAAAAGGAAAAAAGAAATAAATATGTCTATTTTGTGTACAAAAATTTTTTTTCTGGAGCCAGCATTAGCAGTGCAGTGGCCAAGGGCACAACTTCATTAGGCATGCCTGGTATTAATGTGCAAGTCCACTGCTAGGACCATATGAGTTAAGAAGCATATCTAGCACTATAATGTTCTTTTAGGTGATCCTCATCAGCACTCTGCAAAAGTGTAGTTCTGTTTCAAATGTCCTATAAAGGATGAATAAACTTCCTCTGCTGAGAACTCTAAAATGCTAATCATTATCTTTTAATTTTGGTACTGAAGATCAGTCAATAGGTCATGTCCAATTTCACACTTGACTGCTTGCCTCAATCATTTTGGCAAACTAGCAGTCTCCAGCCAGCCATGTCTATGAAGTACTTAAAGCAGGATTATAAACATGTGTCTTCTATTGAGTACTTAAAGTAGGTCTCTAAATATTTTTCTGTTATTAATGAAATGCTCTGAGTCTGCTGAAGAGGTCCACAGATAAACACACAACCCCTGCCAGCTCATGCAGAGATGCTGAAGCTTTGTTTGAAAACCTGAATTGTTTGGTGAGACTGAGCTGCCATGGGTGGAGATGTACTTGCTCTGTAAAACCTAAATATTAAAAAAAAAAAAAAAAAAAAATAATGATCCACAGTGTTCCAGGATGCATTATCTCTTTTAAAATAGTACTACAATTAAATGACAACTTGACAACCCACAAAGGAAAATAAATTCAAGTGCCAACAATAATTTTATAGTGTTGATGCTGCTTTTTATCTTAGTTCAGACAGCTTGGAACTGTGACTATTTACATAAACTGTTTATTACAATATTCAGAATTTAGGAATTTAGTGTTGTATGGAAAGGCTATTTATTTTTCTTCCAGGTCTAGAAGCTGCCTCACTGGCTTTTTATTCACTGGAAAATGGTCTCTAAATTTTTGTGACTATATTGATTTTTCTTAGCTTAGGGTCAAACGTCACAGTAATCCTCCAATCATGGAAATAGTCTCTGAAGATCGAGGCCTTTTCATTTCTATACAACAATAATGTGCACTTTATGTGTACAATTGATTTTTATTTTCTACCGTTATCTCTCTGACCCACAATGGACTAGATAAGTAGAGGCACAAACATCAGTGATGTGTCCTACATGTTTTCAGGCTAAATTGAACTCACTCCCATAGTTTTCTTTCAGTAGTGAAGAAGGACCACAAATGATAAACTGCAACAATGAGAAATTTGGACAAGTGCACTACTCAATGTTGTCTTTAGGATCACCAAATTGAGCAGTACTGTGTTTGAAGGCAGGCCAGAGATTACCATAGGAAGACTGAAGCACATACTCTCCAAACTGGTGTATTTCCTGTGCTGCCTTACAGATTCACTTTTTATTGCTAAGATACACATGCAAATCAGTAGGTGCACATTTATATTTTCACTTTCACAAGCAAATTTCTGAAGATGCCCTGGCCTATATCAGAAAGTTTAAGGGGATTTTTTACAGTTTCTGTCTTTATCTTAGTTCACTGCTAATAGTTTTTAATTCATTCCTCTCTTAGTTCCTTAGCTTTAAAAATTTGTATTTTCTATATACTTTTATATAGCTTATATTTTCCTCTCTTAATCCATTGTCTGTAAAATTTTATTTATACATATACAATGGTCCTGTAGCTTTCTGTGCCTGCTTTTAGTTCTCTCCTGAGCTTGCTCCTCTTTGCATTTTCAAGTTTCCGTGTCTACTTTATTAATTTATATATTCTCTAATATTATATATATACTCTCTAATATTTTTCATCTTTCCTGCCTGTTCTGTATCCTGTTCTGCTGAGCTCAGGGCCAGTGTCTGTGGCTGGGGCCAGGGCAAGGGAGATGAGCTTCACCTGGGAGCTGCAGCATCTAGGTTGTACTCATGAGGTGTGAAAGTGGCTGAGCCAAGGATTAAGACAGGCTACAGGAAGGGATGGGCTGGTGTCGCCCTGATTCTTAAGACTTTCTAAAGCCTTCTGAGTTTACATTCTGTTAGAGAACTTTCTCACTTTTTTGTAAACAACATATTGTTTTGCATTCCTTCATAGAGGTGGAGAAACTTGATGTACTGCTAGTTTGTCCAATGTCTTTGGAGAGGTAGCCCATTCACTCTCCAATCCACTGTCACCTTTGGAAAAGTATAAATGCTGGAGTCAGAAAATAAACTCTCTCTTTTTCACCTTGCAATAGCAGCAGCTCACATCTTGCTTTCACATGACAGGCTGGGGCAGCAAATGTGCAGCCACTGAGGCTGGGGTATATAAAGCACAGCCTCTGGTCAGGGTGCTTTGCTGTTCCTTCAGCTCCTAGGCTGTTTCAGCTCTTTGGGCAGGTGTGTTCTGGCACTTAGAGAATGGAGCTGCCTGCCTGAGTCAGGCTTCAGGACCGGTGAAGGTTCAGCAGCCTGTGTAGTAGAAAGTACACTTGTGACACCCACCCCAGTCAGGATGCTGGAGGGAATCCCCCTGCTGTGTGACATCCCCCAAAATAAATCCACCAGCCTTGGGGCTTCATGGTCTCAGTGGGTCTCTCCTGTTTTCCTGGAGTTGGGCATCCCATGTGTCAGAAATCCCACAGAAATCAGGCTGAGCCCCCCATCT